GTCACTATCATTGACCGTTGTGGGGAATTCCCTAATGTCCCTCTACTTGGCATTAGGGGAGGCATCACCTACAACCCCTGCTTGGCTCTGAGACAGTTTGGTTATGCCCGAAGGGATGGCCCACTTGACATGCTGATTCAAGGATTGGTTTTCGACTACGACAACGACGACCAAGGTTCTTGCACCACCAATTTGTGTTCCTTCATTTGAATATACAGGAAGTGTTTCAAGATCTATGAAGGTACCTGGGAGAAATTGTTGCATGACTAGCAACCACTGCGGAAGGTTGTTGTAAGAGGCCTCCCAATTGCCATAAATATCTTCGATTGCTTTGTTCTTTGCAATCCATGCTTTTTTGTAAGACACGGTGTAGCCATAAGTCGTACGAATATGAGCAATAATATGTCTAACCTTGATTGCCGCGTCACTGTCAACAAGAGGTCTGATGTTATGGGCGATCATCTTTGAGGTAAGCTTTTGGTGATCTTGAGATATAGCAGTCGACAAGCAAGTGTGTGGCCCTCCAATTCTGCCAATAACCCATTTACCACACCCCTCCCTTAACGAAGCCCTACATGTGAAGTTGCATCTCTCCTTTTTACATTTAATTAAATATTGTATCAGATCAGACTTACAAACCTTAAAAGTATGAGAATTTTTTATGTGATACTCAAATATTGCATGGAGACATACTTCTTTGTTTTCAAACGTCATACCAACCTTTAAGTCATCACGTGACTCACGTTCATGTAAGGGTTCAAAGACTGAAATTGGTTTCACACATTCAAATGAAACATTTCTTAAGTGATATGGTGGGTTGTATAGATCAAGTATAGGAGCCGGTTCTGCCTCCAGTCTGTCAACTTCACCTGACTCGTCACTGGACCCACTAAACAAATTAATTTGTCTGGCATCGTCGGAGTCAGTATCATCACCCACTTCCTCTTCCGAAAATATTGGCTCGTTATGTTGTGCTTGGACAGACTCTTCTTGTTGGGAGACCTGACTTTGTTGATATGCATGAGTTTGTGATGATTGTGTTGGAAATACTTCATGCATTTATTGAAAACAAATATACAACTCCATTGTTTGTTGACTGCAAAACCTTGAGTGGCATTGAAGCATTGAACGGACATCTTCATCGTCTTTGATTTTTGCAGTGTTGTATGTGACATTGTGATCAACTGGATTAACTATTGGAAATCGATAAAAAATAGAATTTACATGTTGTTGTAAAGTTTCTTCTATTTTTTTCGTCAAGTGGGCTAAATCACTTTTTCGATGAATATTTAAAATATGTGTATCCGTATTTTGAAATACCACTCCAATATTTTCGTCGGTAAAAATATTACCATTGAAATGTAACAGACAAGAAATGTGATTTTGTGGCATTGTGTTTGATGTAATATTCAATTGTTTGAATAAGAGACAACTATGTTTGAATAAGAGACAGCTATGTTTGAATAAACAAACTGCAATTTGTTGGATTTATTATGCTGTCGCCAAGTCAAATGGCGTGAAGCCTTGGTCCGTGTACACTCACGCCAACTCAAATGGCGTGAACCCTTGTAGTCGCCATGTCAAATGGTGTGAAGACCATACTTGCGCCAAATCAAATGGCGTGAATACCCTACTTGCGCCAACTCAAATGGCGTGAACCCTTGTTATGCGCCAATTCAAATGGCGTGAAGCCTTGCAGTCTGGCATGAATGCATACGTGCCATGCATATAAATGCAACATTAAACGATTTTGTTTTCAGATTAAAATGACTCTGATACTTTGCTTAGTATACATTATTCCGTATAATTCACAAGTTGTTATGTTTGATTATAGAAATGCATTTTCTAATCTTTTGGTTGTACGGCTTATGGAAAGACCTAAACTCATTCACTTGAAAAATCAATTACGTCAAGTCACAAATATTAATAGGAGCATTACATAGATATCTTTCAACCGGGCTACAATCAACGAAAATGGAGTCTTGATGCAGCATATTACAAAGTTAGTTACAAATACAGATGTATTTAACATGTTTGAAGATTTTCGAATTGGTGTTAATAAAACACCATTTGAGTTGTATGTCAGATTCAGTAGATCAGCCGATGAAGTTTTATCATTGTGTACAAAACCGTGTAATTTACAATATTATCAATAAGTATACAAATTTATATTTATTCAACTTTCATTAAATAACTCTACTACCTACCAACTCTAATTAAATTACTCTACTACCTATCAACCATAATTAATTAAATTATTCACCTACCAACTCTCATTTTTCCTATAAATACTCAATCACTCTCACCTCATTTTTCCACAAACACACTACATTCTATTCACTACACACTCTCTACTCTCTTTTGTTAAGTCTTCAGTCAGTTCTTCATTTTCACAATTATGGCCAATATGTTTTGGTATGGTACACAACATAGGGGAACTGTAGAAAATATCAATGTGGTAAGTATTTATGATTTATTCAATATTATTCATATTATTTATTTTTGAGTTTACAATATTAGTTTTATTCATAATTTGCATAGAAATGTTGAATATTTTTCTATATTACTTATTTCTATTACAGATTGATGATACTTATATTTCAAAATGGAGAATTCGTGCTCACAAACCTCTAAAGCCACATGCAGTCATAATCCCTTACCTTCACCAATTTGGTTTCTACCATGTATCTACAATAGGGTCCACACACATCAATTCAAGGTTAATTATAGCCTTACTGGAACGGTGGAGACCCGAAACTCATACATTTCATCTTCCAAACGGTAAATGCACAATTACATTGGAAGATGTGAGTATGTTATTGGGGCTTCCTGTAGATGGTAAAGCGGTAAATGGTCCATCCGAGCTAGGTGGTGGTGCATGGAGTTCTATTTTAGGGGATGAACCACCACAAAGTGATAAGGGAATAACTGCGAGGTTGACATGGCTTAAAGACATGTACCAACATGAACCACCAACCGAGGAGTCACCTGAGGAGTATAAAATTAAACATGCTCGTATTTATATCTTACTCCTTATCGGGCAAGTTTTTTTACTAACAAAAGCGGTAATACTATACACTCAAAATGGACACAATTTGTTGTGGATTTGGAAGATTGTGGAAAATTGAGTTGGGGTTCCGCCGTTTTAGCCAATCTATATAGGGAAATGTGCAACTCTGTATACATAAAAGTAACAGAGATGTCAGGATGCATTTTACTTCTTCAAGCTTGGACTTTTACACGCGTGCCTATAATATCTCTGGTGGCTCCGCTTCAAGCTCCATATCCTTACGCAAGAAGGTAATATTTTAATTTTAATTTAAAATTATAATTAAATTTGTTAGGATACTTTAAAATAAAATTTAATTTTAAATTCTTTTTAGGTGGTGCATCAAGAAACTTGACTACCAAAATAACCTGCGCCACCATCTACAAGGATACCGATTCAGAATTGATCACATGCTTCAAGATCATGGTTTTTTTTCTTCACTTTAATACTTCTTATAAATTTTTGAATTTTATTTTGGTTAAACTAAAAAATTTATTTTTGAATTTTATTTTGGTTAAACTAAAAAATTGTATCTATAACTTTTCAGTTTATTTGGAGGTCGTATCTTGGATTAGCGCCCCAAAGGCACGAGGACAGTTTGATATGGAGTTCAACTACGTATATAATATGTTTTCATATTGTAGAAATGCATCAAGCAGATAGGGTCAAACTACAATTTGGCCATTTACAAGGGATACCTGAAGAACCTCGATGTCTGGCTGAACACCATAAGATGACAACAATAAAAGTGCGCCAAAAAGCATATACCACACTATACTGATGAACAAAACTGTTAGTTGCATCGAGAATTGTTTACGTTGGATGGAGATCAATTACAAACAGAGGAGAAACCGTCAAATGAGTACATGCAATGGTATCACTCGCTTCTACATAGATATGCATCGTACGAACAATTTCTCACTGACCCTCGTCAAAATCAATATGCCCCTACTCAGGCAAGTGGCTCTCAACAACCTCCTCATCCTCAATCCTTCCAACAACAAACTCCTCACTTTTCCCAACATCAAACACCCATCCCCATTATCCTGAACAACAAACTTCTAACCCTCATTTTTCTCAACTACAAACTCCTGCCCCTTATTTTTACCAAAATACGCCTTATTTTCCAACCATGTGTCTGCCACAACAACGACAATATAATTTTGGTGACGATCTTAACGTCAGTGATTATGATTTACTGGAAAGTATTTGGTCTCCTCCACAAGCTACAACTCCTAGTCAAGAAAATTCTCCAACATCAGATGCAATACAGCAAAATCCTCCAACAACAGAGACTGAACAACAATATGGTTTTGGTCATCGTGCTCCGCGACCGCGTTATTGTTTTACCGGTACTCGTTTCGGACCGGGTCATCAGCATTAAATAGTGTAATTGTGAAATTTTAACTGTATTTTTTTATTTAACATTTTGATTGTAATTGTGATATTTTATTATTTAATAAAAAAAATTATTATTACATTGTAATTGTTAAATAGTTATTTTAAGTTTTTAAATTAATATTTTATTAATTAATTTTATAACTAAATAGTTTATTAAATTATTTGTAATTAATAAAAAAATTAAATAATTAAAATTATTAATATAAATAATAAAAATGTAAGAAAACGAAGAGAAAAATATTAAACAGGCCTTTCACGCCATTTGATTTAGAGTGAGCTCTTGCTGCCCACATTCGCACCATTTCAAATGGCGTGAACTCCCCTAGATGTGGCATTCTGGACAATTTTTTTCAGACCGTAGCATTTTGAGAAATTTTTTTCGTGGATGTGGCATGTTGAGAAAAAATTCAATATTTGTGTACTTCTAACAACTATATATAGAATATTATAAAACTTATAATCAAAAACATAAAAACTAATTCTAAAACCCTCTATTTTCATAGTCACTGTCCCATAGCTGTCACCTTCACACACACAAAACAAAAAAACAATGGAATCACTATTGAAGTTGCATCATCATCATCATGCACACATTGGTTCAAAACAAAGCAAACCCATTTCGCATGTTGTTCCCAAATCCACCTTTTTACCTCGTACATACCACAGCTTTGTTCCATCATCACCAATTCTTACTGTTTCCTATCGTCCTCTTCAAGTTCATGCTGGTTCCTCTTCTTCTTCCTTTCAATTCAAGTACATCACCTTTTATTACTTTTTTTATTCTTTCCAATAACAACCCTTTAATGTTTTTCTGTTTTTGTGATCAATTTGTCATTTATTGTTGGTTGGTGAAAAGTGACAGTGCCTAGAAAGAAAGCTATTGAATGTTTATGTTAGATCCTATTGTTTTCTACTTGAGGAATGTGTTTGTTCATGAATTTTATGGCTTTCATTGTGCATTTGCATTTGAAATTGGTTATGCGTTTTGTTGGGTGTGGAATTGAATTTACTGTTTTAGTCTTGGTAATATTTGCCAATTGAATCCTCTAGAGCAGCTGCACAATTGTTGGATCCAAGTGCAAGGTGGTGTAGTTGGATCTTGCACCTAGATCCAGCTTTGAAGCCTGGTCATTGCACACTCTGTAGCACCGACACCTCTAAGGTGTGTCAGAGTCGGTGTTTGAAACTGACACCAACACTGACACTTATGATTATGTTAAATTTATTCATTTTTTAAAATTGTTGTTGTCGATGTGTCAATGTTTCTGGTGTTCGTGCTTCACTGCATGACACAGAGCTGCGGTGCGAGATCTTTTTAGTAAAAAATGGAAAAGGGGAAAAAATTTATTAATTAAAATGACACTAGTGATTATGTTACAACTGCCTCTGAGAAAATCTGAATTTTGTTTTTTGAGATACAAAGTAAAGTTATTAACATCGAGCTGACAACTCGTGGATGCAGAGTAATCAGATCTTGATTTAGAGGATTCAAATGATTTCTCTTAGATCTAATGGATTGGTAGTGACAACATGGAAGATGGAATCACTATGGAGTATCTCTTAGATCTAATAGGATCCCTTTTGGGCTTCCTTACCTGTGTGCGATGATGAACCTGGTCTTCATAGCATACGTTGCTGCTAAATTCTAACAGTTTAACCGTAGAAATTGTTTGTACTATGAAAACTTGTGGATCCATTTTTGACTGTTTCTTTTGGTCAGGCATTCTGGTAAAATAAGGGTGGATGAAAGTAAGAGCCTGACTTTAGAGAGCGTCAGGCACTCTTTGATTCGCCAGGAAGATAGCATCATATTCAGTCTTCTGGAGAGAGCTCAGTACTCTTACAATGAAGACACATATGACAACGATGCTCTCTTTGCAGATGGTTTTCGTGGCTCTTTGGTTGAGTACATGGTCTGCGAAAGTGAAAAGCTGCATGCCCAGGTGGTTATGATTTTTAAAGCTTAGAAAATATGGAAGAAAAAAAGGTTTCATTATTAAACTATTTTGTGCTTGGCTTCCGTTTGAAATTAGGTGGGAAGATATATGAGCCCGGATGAGCATGCTTTCTTCCCAAAATACTTACCTGAACCACAGCTCCCACCATTGAAGTACCCACAGGTTTTGAAATTTTTTTCTCTTTCTTGTTACGTAAGTGAAAATTCAATTGATATTCGACAAACAGATGGGTTTTGTTTTCTAGATTATCTTAACTTCACGAGAGTATTTAATATTTCTCTTACTTTGATAAGGTTGGTGAGTGAAGATTGGTTAATGACTATTCTTGTGCATACCCTTTTGGTGAGAATGAAATTCTTATAATGCTTTAAGAAATTCAAATGTACTTGGCAAGTCACATGTCAAGCCAAGCCCATAGATAAAAGTAGGGGTGGCAAACGGGTATGTCTGCCCCGCAAAAGCCCACAAGAAAGGGACAGGACAAGCATTGTTGTGGGACTGGGCCTAGAATCTTGGCCCGCCCTGCAAAAAAATGAGGGTGGGGCGGGCCTGAGGGCACTGCACATCTGCACCTTTAAAGCCTGAAATTTGCAAAAGTTTATGTTGCCCACACCCGAAAATAAACGGGGCGGACATATTAGAGGGTGCGGGCTCAAATCTTAGCCCGTCCTGCAAAAAAAGTATGGGCAAAACGGACATGTCCAGCGGGTCGGGTCCGTTTTGCCACCCTAGATAAAAGTAGAAGGCAGTTGCCACTTAATAACAAACATTTTCTTCCGATTGGTTATCATTATCCTTCATACATTTTTGCCATTTGGCTTTTACCTTGTAGTAACAGCAACACCTTCTTACTTTGTTTAACAGAATTAGATAAAAAATACTTCCATAAAAAAAAGTAGTTCCTGTTTTTAGTTTTCGCATAGTTTGTGTTTTTATACTGATCTACCTTTCATTTTCTCTTGTATAAATAACTAGGTTCTCCATCACTGTGCCAATTCAATAAATATAAACAAGTTGATTTGGGACATGTATTTTAAGGATCTCCTGCCAAGATTGGTAAAACCAGGAGATGATGGTAACTGTGGATCAGCTGCTGTCTGTGACACTCTTTGCTTGCAGGTACATATTAAGCTTCTCATGTTTCGCAATCAGAATGATGGTAAAAGTACAAGAAGCTCATTTCTGTTGAATCAATCAGAATCGAGTCATGCCTTCTTAGTCCTGAATGTTCAGTATATGCACCGATGTTCAGTTCATTGACTAGTATTATGATGTTCAGTCTATTGATTATCGTCTTACTAAATTTGAACATTATACTCACGCGAGAGAAGTACAAATGCATTGTTTTGTTATAAAATATGATTATAATGTTTTGGTACCATTCCAGGCTCTCTCAAAGAGAATCCACTATGGGAAATTTGTTGCTGAGACAAAGTTTCTAGAATCCCGTGAGCTATATGAGCCGGCCATTAAAGCGAAAGTAAGCTTTTACCTGCCTTATAACAGACTCTTTTACATTGTGACACACTACATAAATGTATCTTGATATGGCCTACTTTGATTCACAGGACAGGAAACGGCTGATGGAGTTGTTGACGAATGAATCAGTGGAGGCATCGGTGCATGAGAGAGTAGAAATGAAATCAAAAACATATGGTCAAGTCGTAAAGATCATTGAAGAAGGTGAAGTAGTAGATCCTGCTTATAAAATCGAGTCAGGCTTGATTGGCAATCTTTATGTAGATTGGATAATGCCACTCACAAAGCAAGTGCAGGTGGAATACTTGTTGAGAAGACTTGATTAATAGAAGAACACGGCTTAAGTTTTTAGTCATGCAAACATGGTTTTCTTTTTGCTTTCCACTTCTTAGAACTTGATGCTACAGAACTCGGGAATTATAGGTTGAGGAACTGGATGGTGTGTTATTATCTTTGGTTTTTACATGGGTTCTTAACTTGTAAACAATTTAATCTATGTCTAATGTCATTTATGATTATGTGCTTTTTTTTCTCTTAGAATTGCATCTAAAGATAGATGAGTTACTCTCTCAGTTTCAAAATAAAAGAGAATAAAACGTAGTTTTCTTGTTCCAAAATATAAAAAAATATAAAATTTATCTGTTTTTAAGATAAAATTAAATGCAAACTGCATTTAATTTAGTTTCTTTCTTACTTTTTTTATTTTTTATAATTAACAATTAATTAAAAATCTTTATCCAAATTATTATATTTTTACTTTTTTTAATAAATGTTATTTTTGTTTTTCTCTTATATTTTGAAAGGAGAGAGTATGTTGTATTTCATTTGCCTAATGGTATTTATAATGTTTCTTGGTTAATCAATTAATGAAATTGTGCTTACTATCAAAAAGAAAAAGATGAAGCATGTACTTGTTCAAACTTCAAAGTTTATCTATTTCATTTTCACACTGATTTTATAATATTGATGCGCTTGTTCCTCCAAAATAATGAACAATAGATAAATTTAATGCGCAAAAACTAATATTTTCACTTTAAAGAGTGGTTTCAAGTAACTAAATAGTTTGAACTCCAAAAAGAATTAGAGAATATTAGATTTCATTTCTGCGAAAACAAAAAAAAATGGTTTCAGATTTTTTATTTCACTTTTTTCAAAAAGAAAAACTTAAATAATTATATTTTCAAAAAAATTTATTAAAATAACTATTTTTTTAAACAAAAAAGATTTTGCATGGATATATTAATATTTTAAATTATACAAATGCATGGATATATATATTTTTTCGGGCGTGTCTTCAACTAAGTGAGTCCTAGTATGACATATATGCCTCCGTCTTTGCCTCACTCCTCTCTGTTGAATTCTGAGATGTTTGGGGTCTGTTCTGACTCGCTTGATGTTGAGGTGTTTGATGTGATGATCCTGGTACATCAGGATCATAACATCTCATCGATCATTTCTCCCTATTGTGCTGATCCAAAGAGATCGGTGTCCATGTTGTTAAAGTTTGGTCTTGTTGGTTGGGATTATGTGGGTGGGGTGGTTGATAGTATTGGGATGTTGAATCGTTTTGAAAATGAAGTAACGGTTCTTGTTGTGTATGAAATTCGTATGATGGTTGGGTACTTTGATGATGTGATGTTTGACTGTATGTAGGTTGGATGGTATGGTAGGAAGAAGAGGTATCATATGTGTCTTGGGTGTTGTGGTAGGATGTGGAAGGTGCATATTGTTGGTTGTGGGTCGGATCATGCTCTTGGTATTGTGTTTGTGTGTGTGGCATGAATTGATCACGAGTTTGGTTGGATGTGGTGGTGTATGGTTGTTGAGTTGAGTGGGTTGACATTGTTGTTGGCTTTGGTATTAATGAGGGGGTTGGATGTTGGGATTGTTGTTGGGCGTATGATGCAGCTCTTTGGCGTGGGTCGATTAAATATGTCTCATGAGACAGAAACAAATTTGTTGAAACTAATGTGTACCATGTCAAATATTGGAGAGTTGATCTAAGTCATCTTGCGAGATCGGCTTCCTTAGGACCAATTCACGTCGATGCCTCCATTGACGACATTGATTTCTAGCAAAGTCTCTCAAATCATTAAATCCCCATTGGTCATCAACTCTAAGTAGATGTCATTGTCCCAAACATGTAGGGGGTCTGGGATACCCTGTCACATGCCGAATTGTAGCTTCACACAATCACTGTGGCACACTCTACAGTAGTGAACCTGATGAGCGTTGTTTTTGCAGTCCAGACTTAAGCATCTGATGGGTTAATCTCATGGTCGAGATCCTTATACGGCCTTCATACAAACTGTAGAGGAAAAAGAGTGTTAATCTAATATTAATATTAAACTTAATTAACCTATTGAAAGCGTTGTATAAAATATGTAAGTTTAATACCTTTTCGGGTCCAACATGATCAATAAAATTTCAGTAGACTACTATTGCATTTCTAGGGGATTTATTATAATTCACCTATGAACAGACCAACTACATAGAAAAAATGGGTAATAAATTAATACATGTTGGTTATAATATATAGTATGTAAAATTTTTGTTTTCGTAATCTTACTTTGTAGCAAAGGGGATGACGAATGGCCTTGTGTTGCGCGGGGGGGGGGGGGGGGGGGGGGGGGGGGGGGGGGGGGGGGGGGGGGGGGGGGGGGACGGGACGAGTGTCTGCATTCTCAACGAGCACCATGTCTGGAGAAAAAAAGGCGCATGAATAGAAAGAACCGTTGTCGTTCGATGCATTTTTATACAAGGAACTATACAAATGGGCCAAAACAGCAGAGCCCCAACTATATGTATTTATTTTATCAAAATGTCTTAACAAAGGTAAATACATGATATTAACAATATTACCTGTTGTTTCAGAAAATAAAAAGTAACCAAATAATATCACTATGTAACACCAAGCTTTCACAATTTTCTTCTTGCTCAGTAAAGTTTTCGATTATTACGAGACTACTATGATATTCTCTAAGAAGATAGAGATTAATACCTTGGCCTCTAAACCCTTGTTCAAATAAACAGGCTCCAAAAGTTCCTCGCATATGGCATTGTCTTGGTTGACTCGACCATTGACAGTCTTACCATTGATCGATAGACCAAATAACATGTACACATCCTCTAGTGTGACGATACATTCACCACATGGAAGATGAAAGGTGGTGAGTTTCGGGTCTCAATATTTCCACTAATGCGAGAATAATTTTATAGTCACATGGTAATTGACTATGTTGAGTAACGAACCAAAACTGGCTTATCGTAAGTACGATTCGATTTGTACATCATAAGGAACATACTCATAGGACACGACAATGAAATCTTTTAACATACTGTTAAAAACATGAATTACGTATGAGAAATATAATATTTACGTATAATAATCATAAGAACTACGGAAATCAAATTTGTCGACAAATAACAGGTATTGAAGAAAATAAACTTACAAAGGTTTCAATGTTATTGAGAGTTCTTCTATGTTGATCACCCAAGGTACATTATTTTATATCGTCAAAAACAAATTTTCCCTTTTCGTTTAACTGCATCTTACAAGAAGAGAAGTGATTCAAGGGAAATATGTACTGTGATCGGTGGATCTGGAACTGACTGTTTTAACGCTGGTTCGCGAAATGTCGCGGAAGCAAGAGTCGCCACCGTCTTTTATTTTCTCCAAATGGAAAGGACAAAAGCACAGAAAAATTCCTTAAAGAGATTGCTCTCGGTTCGGGAGGTAGGTTATAGAAAGGGAAGGTGTTAGCACCCTTTCTATCCATGGTTATCCATGGGCTCTTAGATACTTGCTCACTTGTGTTTTCAAAAATGGTTTGTTTGCTTTTCAACTGTGGGTTTTAAAAAGTTTCTTTGAAAATTTCAGTTCGACTCTTGTATCGGTCCTCAAGAGTGTTTGAAAAATTGCTTTCGAAAGCTTTTTGAAAATGTGTTGGTGTGAAAAGAGTTTTTGAGTTTGTTTTGAAATTAGAGCAAGTATCTAGAGTCGTCTACCTACCCTAAGGAATTCGTCTGTGTAGGTGTCCTTTAAAGTAGTGCCATCCCACCATTGAGAGGTAGGTAGCACCACCGTTGGAGGTGTTCGGGTCAATTCGAGGTTCGGGACATGGCGATCACCAGAGCAATGGGAAGACACCTTAGAAGCTACCCTCATGCCAGGTTCCCAGATCATGAGGACTTACTAAGACATCCTCTACTCGACGATCACCTTTCGAGGCAAGGCAACAGTGAGGCGTACCCTAGGGGTGGTGTGTGATTTGTGTGTCATGTTCAGATATTTTTGTCTTTTGTCATGTCATTGGTGATCTAGCGTTTGTTTTTATTTAAGGCCATTCATTCTTGCGTGCATTTGTTAATAGTTAAAATATTGTGAGAAATAAAAGTTCTAAAGCTATTACAAAAGGCGCGGGTCCACATCGCCAAAATTTCCAGAACCCGATTTGACAGAAAATAAAGAAATAAAATGCGGGAAATATAAAATGTCCGAGTTACATGACTTGAGCAATTACATAATATTTGAAAGAAAATAAATGTGCGAAAGAAATAAAAATAGAACGTTCGAGGGCGTTGGACCCTTTAAAGAAATTAAATGAAATTAAAAAGCTAATTAATTATTTAATAAAAGGAAAGAAATGTTTTTTAGTTTTTTTTGTATTTATGAAATAAGAAAATTAAAATTAAAAGAAACCCTAATTCTAAATTATTTTTAACTATTTGAGAAAAATGTTAAAGTTTAACTTAATTTACTAAAGAATTTATGTACATGTTTATTTACAAAATAAATTAGTAATTAATAATAATAATAATGATGAGAAAATTATTTATTAAAAAAAATGATGAAAAAGTTAAAAACCCTAATTTCTACATATTTAATTTATTAAGAAAAATATTAAAGTTTTGAAACCTAAATTAATCTAATTAATTGTTTAAAGTTTATTTACAAAAATAATAATAGTAAAATTAATATTAATAAAATAAACATTTTTTTGATTTTTCTGTATTTTATATTTATTATGAAAATTATTTTATGGAATTAAAAGAAAACAATTAAAAAACAATTAAAAGAATAAAAAGGAAAAACAAATAAAAATTAAAAATTGAGCAAACCATAGGGGGTGTCTGGCCCAAGGGGAGATTTTTTGAAGTATTGACTCCTGAGTACCGTGGTCTACATTCTTTGGCCATTGGATTGAGTTTCATGCATAAGTTGTTCTACTTTGGCCATTTGGCTTTTGGCTTTTGCCTTTTGGCCATTTGTGTTCTGGCTTCAACGTTCCTTAATCTTCTCAGGATGTCTGTCTCGCCACGTATT